ACCCGCCGGGGGTCAAACTCTGGTAATTGGCAATTCTGTTCTCAGACATGTGAAGCTAGAGACACCGGCAACCAGCGTTCCAAAAAGGTATTTATTTTATTTGCAGATGACACAAATTTTTATTGCTCTGGAGAGAATTTGAACGATTTGGTTGAAATTATGACTTCTGAGATGTTAAGATTAAAAAAAATGGTTTGATGTAAATAAATTATCTTTGAATCTGACAAAAACGAAATTCATGATATTTGGCAATCGTGTAAAAGGAGGAAGTTATTATGTCCACTGATGGAGAATTGATTGAAAGAGTTACTGAATTTTGCTTTTTGGGTGTGTAGATGAAAATTTGACGTGGAAATCTCATATTGAGTATATTAGAAAGAAGATGGTTAAAAACATTTATATTTTGGGAAATGTAAGAGATTCATTAGACCACAAAACAATGCGCATTTTATATTTTTCATTGTTCTTCTCATACTTCAGTTACTGTGTCGAAGTTTGGGGGAATACATATGAGAATACTACAAAACCTCTAAACTTATTACAGAAGAAAGTGATACGAATGATTCATAACGTTAAATATAGAGAACATACAAATAAATTATTTATAAAATCCAAATTATTAAAATTTGGAGATTTAGTGAAACTACGGACACTATTAATTATGTTTAAGGCTAAAAGTAATATTTTGCCTTCTAAGTTACAAAGAGTATTTTTAATGTGTTCGGGGGGAAATTTTTTTTAAGCATCAGCTAGCTAGAACTACACAAAGATTAATGAGGCCAACGGTTACGGGTACGACTGTGGAAGTCTCTTCATTATAATTTACAGAATTGCATACATTTACATAGTTTTAAAAAGTGTTACATGTATAAAACAATAACTCAATATGAAGAATGTGAATGAAATTGGAGTTAATTGAAAAAGGATCCATTATTTTTTTGCCTCATTTATTTTATTTACTCATCTTTTCTCCTTGTTACTATGTGGAGTGGTATATTCTGATTGTAAATGTGTTGTTAGGACCGGAGATAAATGTTAATGTTAGTTTGTTCCTTGACTTTTGGTGCCCGCTTGCAATATAAGTTGGATTGTAGAGAGGGGGCGGGGTTTAATAAGAATATTTTCTTCTTCCTGCTGCTTTTCACACGTGGTTGCTTTACTGACAGACAGTGTGGTTGGTTTGTCTGAAAGAACTAACTGTGGAAACTGTTGACCAAGTGTGAATTAAATAAATAAATGAAACAATATAAAGTGCCTTGAGACGACTGTTGTTGTGATTTGACGCTGTATAAATAACAATGAAATGAATTGACCCACAACACCATCCCCCTGGTAACGAAGGCCCAGCAGCTGCACTTCCTCTGTGTCCTGAGGAAGAAGCTGTAGTGGTAAGACTACACACCTTTGGAGCGCAGACCCTTACTGGATCCAGTAAGGGGCCTGGCTACACCCCCGTTGCTAAAACCAAGTCCTGGAATGGCCTCCAGCCTGTCCGCAGCTCGGACACAAGCATTTCACTACTATGGGGTGGATGACTGAATGTAGTGTAAAGCGCCTCTATACAAATGCAGGCCATTTACTACCTGTTGTACTCTGTATGATTGTGTATGTGACAATTAAAGCTTGCTTGAAGAATAACCTGGTATAACCAGCTGCTGCTGGCCTTCTACCTTCTCAGTGGAGCACCAACCACCAGGCATGCCTGCCTGGTGCTCAGGGGCCATGACTGACAGCAGGAAGGCTGTAGCCACGTGACCCTGGTAAGGACAGACACAGTCATACACCATCGGAGGCACGAGGGGTCATGAGGTTTAGAGCCTTTTTCCAGCCAGGCAGATAAAGACAGGAGGGACCGAGGAGGAGGTCCAATCTTTTTACATTTAATCCAAAGACAGACGTGCAGCCCCACCCCCAACACCACCACCACCACCTGCTCACACACACACAGGATTAATCCCGCAGCCCTTCAAAGTCCCACAATCGAGGACACGTCCACAGCAACAGTTTTATTGCCTCAAACCAGCAGGAAACAGACTTTATGAGCTGGCTTATCAAAATGAAACAAAAACACAAACAAAAGCAAAACCTTACTTCACAGGAGGTCAGGGGTCGAAGGTCAGAGGTCAGCACGTAATCACAGAAATCCTGACTAACATAAAACACGCTGAGAAACAGATCGAATTCATGAGTGAAGGAGGGGAAGGGACCATCATCCATCATAACTGGAGATTTTCCTGCTGACACAGTCATCCTGGAGCCGGCGTTCCCAGTCAGCTGACCCCCAACATTTCGCTCTAACTGGGTCATTTCCTCAGCACCGCGAGTCGAGCCAGGCTTTGAGAGCACTGTCAGTGCTGTTGTGATTGGGGGCTGGGAGTCTCAGGCCCTCAGCAAGACAAAGATCAGATAATCGCTGCTGGCCTTAATCCCCGAGCAGAGAGAGGAGCCTTTATCTGCCAGCAGCAGAAAGGTAGAAGTATGGGAGGAAGACTTCCTGAGACTCGCTCCGAGATTCCTATGCTGACGTCCTCTGTGTCAGCAATAACTCAAGTTACTGGGAACGGTGTCACCGAAACATCAGTACAACGAGTACACGCACACACACACACACACACACGGACACACCTCCTCTCTGTAATCGATGATCGATCTCTACAGACTGAAGCTAACCGGTCGTTCCTCCTGTTGGGATCGGAGCACAAACGTAAACAGAGCCATATGTTGTTTGGGATTGGCTCCATCAGATAAATGCTGACTGCATACTGTGCAGTGATTGGTTAAGTCTGCTCCGTGTCACGGTCACTTATCACCTCTGGGGTGATGAGACTGGGGTTCTCATTGGGCCCAAAACATCAATAAGTAATAATTGGCGTGAGTGGGGATTACTTCCTGGGTGGTCCAGGTATTAGCCAGTTCCCATTCTTCCATGATCGAGTGCTTTCTGAGGCTGAGACGTCCCGGCTCATTAATCAACAAAAGTCTCAGTCGAAGCTTCTCTTGATCGAGCGTTTCCAGCTTCACTGCAGCAGAAACGTCAGGTCTGCCGGGCTCAACGCCGGACGTCAGGAATTAACATGTGACAAAACGCGTCCCAGCACCCCCGTAGGAGGGCGGTGTGAAACCGATTCCATCAGTGATTGCTGAGCGTTCTGTGACCTGTCAGATGAAGGAGCTGCTTGGCATCAGTTACTCCATCGCACTGACACCAGGAAGAGGAGGAGGAAGAGGAGGGAAGCGAAGCAGCATTTGGTGTTTTGGTTGCAGAGGAGTGTTTTTATGTGGCAGCATGCAAAGTGAGACTTTAAGCTGTCAGTAAAACCAAAATTTGGCAAAAAACAAACTCCAAACTGTCTTATCGGCGGGTCAGCTTGGCTTCCGGTCCCTGCACGGCTCTTTAGGAGTGAGTTCTGCAAACGAACGCAGCGCTGCAGCGAGCCATCATCTGCTCCGTCAAACACAAACATTTCCCCGTCACAGCGTCTGTCTGAGAGGAGCGTGGGGTTCGGGTCAAGGACCCCGAGCACCGCCATAACAATGAAGCCATGAATCGGCCCCGCGTCTGTGTCGCTGTGACGTGGAAACCTGCAGGACTCATCACCACAGGTTAGGGTTAACTTCTTATTGTGTGGCACAATCCAAATGTCCCCACCATCCACATTTTCCAACCTCACCGCTTCACTCAAACGTCCCCACAAAATGCTTTTTAAAAAACTGTCTTGAATGACATTTTTGTGAATGAGCCGATGAGTTTCTGTAGTTTCACAAACGCTCCCGTGTGAAGCAGCGCTGTCCTCGCCGACCGACACTGAACAAACCCTTTCAGAGATTTATGCAGCCGCACACGCAAACCTGACGGCGTGAGCACGAGATCAATACGCCGCTGATCGACTTCACACATCAAACTTTTATATTTTCCTATCAGGTCCCCACAAATCCTGGTTTTATGTCAGTGGAACAGCTGTCTACAAACATTTGGACACTTTTAAACAGTGCGTCTTAAAATTTGAACCTTTGCACAAAAACCTTCGAGAAACATCCAAAAAAAGCCCAACTTCCTCACCGCGCTTGGATCTCTTCAAATATCCCGACTGTCAGTCGCAGCTTTGCTTTCCAAAGAAATTCCGACTTTGATAACAACGTCCAGACTGCAGCTCAGTGGAAAAAACGAGTTCTTGTGTTCCACAAACATCCTTCGAACGAACTTCCAGACGTTTCCCTCGGATATCTCAGCCCTCATCCATCAGCAGCTCCGAGCAGATTTCCTCGCTCACACTGTGACTGTGTGCGGATTTATTATCTGAGGCATGTCGAGGCCTTATCAGCTTCTTTAGAGTACTATCTCATCTGTGTGTGTGTGTGTGTGTGTGTGTGTGTGTGTGTGTTTTCAAGTTCAAGCAGGCCTTTAACCTCCAGTTTTCCCGTGGGATCTCTGCACTGCCTCGAGGCAAACACACACACACCCTGAGGCACATTTACTCTGCACATCCTCCAGTGTTTACTCATTAATTCTTACAGCGGTTTGTTATCGTCTCGCGCACACACACACACACACACACACACACACACACACACACACACACACACACAGGTTCAGTAAAACAAAGTCAAATCTGCAGCATGTATCTCTCTTCAAGGGAACAGACTACTTCCTGTACTCGGTTCTTTAAGCCTGTTTCTGTGTATGCAGAGGTCAGAGGTCAACACAATGACATAAATGAAAGTTGTTTCTGACCATGACTGCAGTTTTATTTCCTGCAACGCACGGAAGACCTCACAAGGACCACAGGAGTACACGTATGACAGGACACGTCTGTATTCATGTGATGTCACAGGTCAGAGGTCATCTGGCGAGAGTCAGCGAGATTAAAGCTCCACACACTCCTGTGTGACTATCAGCTGATCATGTTATTAATGACACACACACAGTAACACCCTGCATGTCCCTGTGCAGCTCCAGCAGCAGCTTCATTAAAGACATTAGTACACACAGGTTAACTTACCTCGAATTCAGGTGGTCCAATCACGAGCAGCTTCTCGGCAGAGCCAATCAGAGCACAGAAAGGCCCAAATCCAGGTAGTAGAAGTTCAGATCCAGATGTAGTCCTGACTAATCCTGATCTGCTGAGACACAGTGGGAGAGAGGAGGCGGTCAGGCCTTTCGTCTTCATCCAGGTGCATTGTGGGAGGGGCGCAGGTGTCCCTGAGACCTGGACACCGGCAGACCTGACCACAGCCGGCCGGAGGGTTCAGGTCCAGAGAGAGAGGAGGGCGAGCCCTGCTCCAGTCAGGATATCTCTGACTCACACTCCTCTAACAACACAGATTTGCTCCAGTTTTATGTTATCCGTGAACTCCGTCTCATTCATCCACCTTTCCATACCTGAGCCGGGACATACCTGGAAGCACTGTGGGACACTCGGAAAAAGCAAAGACATGAAAACTGCTTCAGAAAAACCTGCACACACAAAGGACCAACAACATCATCCAACCACCAAGCCTCCAAACGAGCTACACCCTCCAGCAGAGCACCAACCAGAGAAGCAGGAGGAGCAGGAAGCCGGGGCGTTCCCGGACCTGGTTCCACCTGGAAAGGTGAGTCCAATAAAGCCCAGAGTCCGACAGGAGCAGGCGTCTGACTGGCTGCAGATACACGTGAAGCTCAAACGGAGAAGAATATGGAAACCAATCTGACCAGTTAACATAAAAACCACCAGTTCACCTGGAGCTGAGCGCTCAACACCTGCACTGTGGCCTTCTGCACATGCTCAGTGCTGTCTGCGGTCCACAGGTGTTTCCTTCAGGTGAGTTTGTTGGGTTTTTTGCAATGCCACGAGTGACCACTGGGAGCAGCAGGACCACGGCTAAAACAGCAGGATATCAGTGCCGCCGGAATGTGACCTTTGACCCTCTCTGACAATTACAACTCATAACTGTAATTCATAGTAGTAACTTCTGAATGTGTGTTTGTTTAGCTGATATCCGTCCATGTAAATGAGGTCACATGTCAGCTGTCCTGCCTTTATGCTCAGTCTCTGCTGCGGTGACCTTTCACCTCTGACACAAGCAGCAGAGACGACCGCAGCAGTCAGCAGTCCTCTGCAGCACAGGCTGATAACACCCGCCCTCAGTAATCCTGGATGCTGAGACAGCTTCAGCACAGGAAAGAGGAGCAGCGTGGGATCTGACACTTCCTGTTGGTGAATCCGAGCGTTGACACGCAGACTTTGGACTTTCACTCAAACGGATCCTCAGGAAAACGAGCATCAGCGGAAGAACTCTTGGACATATATGAATAGACGTGAGCTTTACTGACAGTGAGGGAGGAGATGAGTCCATTATCCTGATGAAGACCCTCCGTTAGCAGGATGATCTAACTCGGGGCCACATTAGTGACTCTCTCACGTCTCTGGCTGCTCCGGGCCTCCGGAGGCAGCGAGAGGTCCAGATGTGGATGGATGCGATGCCGGGATCAGCAGAGGGAGCGTGGCGGTCTGCCGCAGCCGTCGTGGAAATAAAAGAGATGTGAGCACTGAGCCTCCGAGCGGCGAGCACGGGAGGTGAGTTATGGGCGGCGACAGCCGACAGGTCTGAGCAAATGAGCCGAAAAGAGAGACGAGTTCAGACGGAGCACGAGGCGGCGAGGGAGAAAATTAAAGGAGGAGAGAAATGAGGGGAGGACGGCAGAAAATAATGAAAGAGCAGATCCTGCAGCGGTGACGCGCAGCCACGGGGAGTGCGCTCAAGTCCCTGCGTCATGCAAACTCTGCAGGCAGATTTGATTGTGATTTGTTTGCTGGCGTTCGGTGGGAGGAATCAGCCGGAGCGCTCCCACTTCTGTTTGTTCTGCACCAGGTTTCCCGGGAAAAAGACGTCCCGCTGGCTGCACATCAAACAGACAAAAGCCAGCGATCCCACAGAACGCTAATCAGAATACACACAGGAAGTGATTTCCTCCACAAGCAACAAAAGCACCACGCGAAGAGGACGCCATCGAGCGCGGAGATGCTCCAACCACCGACCTGTCGGTGTCGGTGCTGAGCCCCACACAGCTCGTTACAGTCCTGTGCTGTTACTCACACGCACGCTCACCTCCTCCTCGCCATCAGCCAGTGCCCCGGCGCAGGTAACCTCCTGCCTCGATCGCGAGGAGTATTCCCAGCAGTGGGAGCTCTGGGAGAAGTTCATGTGCAGGAATAGCTTCACGGAAGCACATCACACATCCGGGAGTGTGACAGCAGTCCACACTCACACTAAAGGACTCTTCAAAATCATACGTGATAGAAAAAGTTCCCATAATTCCTCTCTGCTTTAGTGCTGCTTATGGGTAAAGTGCTGGTGTGCTGCAGTGTTTCACACAGGCCGGGTCTAATCCGGAGCGCTTCACGCTCGCTCTCTCTCTGCAGCCTCGCCGGGTTAATAAGTGTAAATCTTCCAGCAGGGAAACTGCCACATCTGTCACAGCTGGTGCCTGATACAGATCCTGATACTGCAGCGGGTTCATGCACCCTGCACATGCAGCAGCTTTAAATCTGACCGCTCACCTTCAGCCTGTGTGTGTGTGATGATGCAGCCGGGCGGAGAGAGCTGCTCTAAGCCGGATAAATTCATAAACAGTGTTTCAGCGCCGCTTCAGAACGACTCTGAAAACAGCGAGCGGCGACTCGCTCCAAAGCTGCTCGCTGTGTCTGCTCTCTGTCCGTTTAGCTTCACCCAACCTCACCTGACCTCACGCTCCAACCCAGCAGTAAAGGAAACAGAAACAAATGTAGCGAACAGGCTTCAGGTCAGTGCCCTGGGACAAAACAAGCTTCTGCGTCCGTAGGTTAATTAATATTAACGATTACTGATCACAGCAGATCGACAGGACGCCACTCACTCATGGCTCCGCTGAGAAAAACGGAGAGGAACTAAAAACCAAACTGCTGCAGCCTCAAACTCATACCAGGAAAATTTATGGTGATGGAAAACAAACAAATACTAATGAAATGAATTCATTGAATCTATGAATCATTTATTCATGCAAACACAAAGAACATCGTCTCCATCCTTTCACTGAAACAAGCACTGGGTGCAACAAAGTAACAAATTACTGTAAACACATTACATTTTTCAGGAAGGCAGTAACAGTAACTGTACTAAGTTATGTCCTTACAAAGGTTCTTTGGTGATCTGCACGCTAAGCTAGCCGAGAACCCAGAGTGATGATCCAGTGCATGCAGACTCCAGTCCTGCAGCCAGAGCCCGATTTCGGTCAGCGACGCTGTGACTGTGCAGCAGGATAAAAGTTGTGTGGCGCATTCATCTTTTGTTAATAAGATTATAACGTTTCCTCTTCCTGTCTCATGGCGAACGCTCTGCCAGTGCTGGGCGGAGTCTCGTGTTGAAGTGTGGGTTTCACCGGCCGCTAGCATCTCCTCACCAAGTGGTAGCCTGATTAGACTAGCGCTGTGTTTTTAGATGCTAAATGATCATTGGGCGCTGACGTCCTCGCCATCAGACGTGATTGTTGCGACATCACTCCATCAATCGCACTCTGATATTACACTTGTTCACATGATGTTTTATTTACACGGCGCAGATATTCTTCTGTGTTTTGGGTCGTTACAAGCTGACCTGAGGTCAGCTGATAAAACATAAAGACCGTCTCAGTGTTTGAACTGAAAGCCTCATTACCCGTGAACAAACACGTCTCTGTTTCCTGCAGCAAAACCAGGTAATCTGCTGCCTATTAACACAGCATTACCAAAAACTGGGCTAATCCACCCATTGTTCTGCGTGCGCATGTGTGTGTGTGTCTTTGTGTTTTGTGCAGTCTGAATGACGGGGAAAAGGTCACCGGATGAATTTGCTGGATCAAACAGATAAAGACACAACAAAAAGTGCAGGAAGCGACCAATGAAAGGCCACCTAACACACACACATACACACTCAGAGACACACAAAGAAGCACACACAGCTGGAGTGTGAAACACGCTGCAGCCATCCTGCACATGCCTGGCAGCGGGTAGATCCTGGTAGCCTGGAGGTCAGCCAACACACACACACACACACACACACACACACACACACACACACACACACACACACACACACACACACACACACAGGTCAGCCTGATGGTTTCCTGCTTTCGGAGCCTCCTACGCTCCTCACTGTGAACGGTGAGCCAAGAAAACGTGGAAACAGATGCCGATGGCGTTCCTTCAGAGCGCAGTGGCGGCTCTGACCTCGGGTGCTTCAAATTCCTTCACTTTGAGAGGAAACTGTTTTTCCTCCACAGCATAGTCGTCATCGACAGCTGGAATCTACGGTGGCCTTAAACCCACGTTTAAGGAAACAAAGACAAAAACGCTGCAAAAGCCCAAAACAGAACGGAGCTGTTTCTGGGGACACAATAACGGGACGGACCAGCTGTAGGGGTCACACAAGCTGTGTCCCAAAACGTCGGATGCATCCTTCGGAGGACCCGCCTTCGCGGTCTACGTTGGCCGGGTCCTTCGAAGACCGAGAAGGCCGGAAGTGTGAGGCTGTGAAATGTGACGGTCTCGCCTTCAGATCTGCGTCACCGCTGTGTCGGTGGGGTTTACTAAACTCGCCGTCTGCTCCTTGCTGTCTAAAATATAACAGGACACTGGAGTAAACTCTTCACCGTCTCACACTCTGACGTTTATTCAGCTGTGTGATCCCGGAGGAACCCACTCGATGGATTAATAAAGTTTAATTTAATCTAATAAACTAATAACTTTGATGTGAGCCAAACCGTCTGAAAACGATGAAGCCGGGGGGTTATCGAGCTGGTGGGTCACAGACGTCTCCGAAAACGTCGGCGCACTTTTGCAAATATGCGATAAACCGAGCAGATATTTGAAGTTTACACAGATTCTCGCCTGAAAATATGTTAAAGGTTTATTTTGTGACCCAGAAAGAATAATAAGAGTAATTTTAAAACTTAGTAGCGGCTGCCATTGTTGGAAACTGGAGTTTGGCTGGGCCGTGCTATGAATTCTGGAATATGGTGGGCCGCGAAGGACACACCCGACCCATCCTTCAAATCCGGGGAAATGAAGGACGCATTTGAAGGAGCCGACGAATTGTGCCAGCCTTCGTCGCGTCGATGTGACGTAATCGGCCTTCAAATGCGGCCTCGGGAGGATGCAGCCGACGTCTTGGGACACAGCTACAGACTCGGAGGTGTGTTTTTGTCACTCGTGTAACCGCAGATGCATGCTTGCTATCGCCTGTTTACTGTTAGGCCCTGGTCCGTCACGTTAATGTCTCCTCAGAAACGCTTCTGTTGTGCTTTATTTACCTTCTGTGGCGTTTTTCTTTAAGTTGCAGTGCGTTTGGCCTCTCAGGACAACCAGAGGAAACGTGCCGGAGGACGCCACGGTCGCTCAGCAGTGAATTACAACATGCCGCCATTGCCGAGGCGCATGCGCCGACAGCTGCAGATTAAGTAACACAGCCGCTGTGATCGGGTTCTCTGATGTGACGGAGCTGCTGATACAGCTCAAACTATCCGCCTCTGAAAGCGAAGCGCTGCTGAGGAGCCATCGCTACCCTCGCCACTCCTGTGACTGCTTCCTGTTCAGTGACATCACAGAACTCCATGAAAAAGACAGACAGGCCCAAACTTTCATCCGAGGACACCGTCGCTGTTCTGCAGTAAAACAAATAAGAACTGCACGTGCACGGCAGCGTTTCAGGGTTTCCTGGAGCGTGACCACACCTGGGCCACGTATGGACAGAGTCTGTGTGAGCACAGGTGGGTGTGGCCTGTGCCTCTGATGGACAGAAAGGAAAAAACGCTGATTTTCCATCAGCAGAAACCCCAAAAAGCAAAAACCTGGGATTTTTAGCGTCCGCTCTCGAGTGTGTCACATGACCGACTTTTGTTAGGTCTCTCTGGAAACAGGAAATAAATATCCTACTGTTATAACTAATGTCACCTGAAACTTTGAGCCTGCGTGAGCGAACCTTTAAATCTCCTTCTGCAGTCTGGCTGAAGCCTCAGCGGAAACGCACAGGAAGCATGAAGCTGTCAGAAACAGGCTGTCATTGGCTCCCGCGGACCGCCGCTGTCTTCATCTCCTTCTTTACGGTCTCCTGATCTCCCCGCCGCACGTAAAGGTCAGACAAACGAAATCACAGAGAAGCAGCTGGACACGCGCTGAGGTCGGCCGCCGCTCACTCCAAAGAAATTTCATCTGTCTTCATCTCTGAGGTTCAATTTACCCGCAACCTGAGCGAGGGGGAGGGGTCTGTGCAGGCGAGCAGAACCAGTACAATAACATAAGAAGGAGGAGAAGCAGGGGGAGGAGGTGTGTGAGAGCACAGATAGACAGAACACAAAAACACACACACGACCCGGAGCCGGACATCGCGACCCGGGCTCAGACCCGCAGAGAACGAGACAATTCTGAGGACGTGCTATAGAATGACGCTTGGTCAACGTCTGATACGCAGCCAACACGCGCACTCACAGCATCCGCTGCACACGCACACCTCCACCTAGAACAGGGCGACGACCAAAAATATTTATCACCATATACATTGGAAAATTTGCGATAACGATGTAACTTAACAAAATACTTTACAACTCCACAACTTTATTAGTGCAAAAACAAAACATCAATGTATTTTAACTTAAACAAGCAGCTGTTTCTTATGTGCATTAAAAGAAATATAAACATGTAACAGTGCAAACTCCTCGCTGACAGTTTAACCAAAAGGCGTTTCCAGTGGAAACTGGCCGACACATCCTCAGCATAACCATGTATAACATCCACAAAACTTAAAAAGAGGTTATACACACACAGTACGGTAACATTATGTTGAAGCACAGCACGTATCACTCCGCGAGGATACATAAGGCACACGGGATTATAAGGGGCTCTGTCGACTTTCAGAA